ATTACAACTGACCTTCAAAACCTCTCCTTTCACAACCCCTATACTGGTCCAGATGAAATCATGATTGGAGATGGCTCTGGCATTCCTATCACACACACGGGTTCAACTTCTCTGCCTACTTCTTCTCACTCTTTCACTCTTTCTAATGTCCTTTGTGCTCCAACCATGAAACGTAATTTAATTTCCATTTCTCAGTTCTGCAAATCAAATAATGCCTCTATTGAATTCTTACCATCATCTTTCTTTGTGAAGGACCTTCAATCGAAAGCCATGCTCTTCCAAGGCCAAACTAAAAATGGTGTCTATGAGTGGCCCATCTCCTCGGCTTCATCACCATTGCTTGCTTTCTCCACAACAAAGACCACATACCCTGCCTGGCATCACCGACTTGGTCACCCATCACTACCGACACTCAAACACATGGTCTCATCATTCAATCTGGATGTCTCAAATTCTTCCTCTCTCAACTCTCATTGCAATTCTTGTCATTGTAATAAGAGTCACAAATTACCTTTCTCTGTGTCTACCTTGTTCACTTCTTCTCCACTTGAAATTGTCTTCACGGATGTTTGGACTTCACCTGTGTACTCCATTGACAACTTTAAATACTATATTCTCTTTGTTGATCATTTCACAAAATATATGTGGCTGTATCCGCTGAAACGCAAATCTGATGCTCGTAATGTTTTCATTTCCTTCAAGGCCTTGGTTGAAAAATTCTTCAACTGTGAAATCAAAACGCTTTACTCTGATAATGGTGGCGAATATCAGGCCCTCTCTTCCTTCCTAACAATCAATGGCATCTCTCATCTCACCTCTCCTCCTCATACTCCTGAACACAATGGCTATTCTGAACGTCGCCATCGTCATATTGTTGAAACTGGACTTTCTCTCCTTTCTCACGCATCTATGCCTCTGGCCTATTGGTCCTTTGCCTTTTCCACAGCCGTATATCTTATAAATCGTCTCTCGACACCTACTCTCAACAATGAGTCTCCATTCCTTAAACTTTTTGGCACTGTCCCTAACTACAATAAACTTCGAAGTTTTGGCTGCCTCTGCTATCCCTGGCTCCGTCCTTACACCTCTCACAAACTTGAACCCAAATCAACTCCTTGTCTCTTGGTTGGATGTTCCTCTACTCAAAGTGCTTATCTCTGTCTTGATATATCCTCCAACCGATTGTACACCTCTCGTCATGTCCGTTTTGTTGAGTCTGTGTTTCCCTTTGCCAACTCTAATCTTACCCTCCCTCGGGTCACCTCCTCCACCACATCCGAATGGTGTTCTATGACTTTACCTGTCATTCCTTCTGTGTCCCCCTCCGTCCCAACAACCTCTCAACCCCAAGGACAACCTTTATCGTCGCAACCCGCATCCAGTTCTGGATTACCACCCATCTCCTCCCCTCCTACTCCAGCTGCAACTATATCCACAACCACCAACCCGACGCCCTCATCTCCTCAAGGCATAATTACTCGGTCCAAACACAACATTCACAAACCCATTCAAAAACTCAACCTCAATGCTGAACTCCACCATCCCACCCTTGTGCCCACCACCGTCAATCAAGCATTGAAAGATCCTCAATGGCGGCAAGCCATGTCCACAGAATTTGATGCTCTTCTTCGTAATGGCACGTGGGAACTTGTTCCATCTCATCCTACCCAAAATTTGGTAGGGTGTAAATGGATTTTTCGCATCAAGTACTTACCTGATGGCTCTGTTGACAGGTACAAAGCGCGTCTGGTGGCCAAAGGTTTTCATCAACGCCCAGGGGTTGATTTCACCGAGACCTTCAGTCCTGTCATCAAACCAACCACTGTGCGTCTGGTTCTTAGCCTTGCGATAAGTCAAGGCTGGTCACTTCGCCAACTGGATGTCAACAATGCCTTTCTTCAAGGCACACTTTCAGAAGTGGTGTTTATGTCTCAACCTCCAGGCTTCATTGACCGTGATCATCCTCACCATGTCTGCAGGCTTCGCAAGGCCATCTACGGCCTCAAACAGGCTCCACGCGCCTGGTATCATGAATTACGCCAATTTCTGCTCACTTCAGGCTTTCATAACTCCACGGCAGATACCTCTCTATTCATATTCAACACTCAAGGAGTTATTCTTTATCTTCTTGTTTACGTTGATGATATCATTGTTACTGGAAACACAGCTCAAGCTGTACATCAGTTTCTTCAGCAACTCTCTATGCGCTTCTCCTTAAAGGATCTTGGGGACTTACACTACTTCCTGGGTGTTGAAACGCTTCCCCATGACGATGGTCTGTTTCTTAGTCAACGAAGGTATATTGTTGATCTTCTTCAAAAAACTCGGATGACTGAGGCAAAACCAGCCACTACACCTCTAGCAACAAGTCCGCCTCTTACCTTGCATGCTGGTACTCCCTTATCTAATCCTACAGAGTATCGCACCATTGTTGGAAGTCTTCAGTACCTCTCCTTGACCCGTCCAGACATCACTTACACCGTCAATAAACTTTCTCAATTCATGCATCAACCAACGAATGAACATTGGACGGCTGTCAAACGCTTACTTCGCTATCTCTGTGGCACGTTAGATCATGGCATAACACTTCGTCGTAAGTCATCTCTTACTCTTCATGCTTTCTCCGATGCTGACTGGGCCGGCAACAAGGATGATTTTACTTCCACCAGTGCTTACATTGTTTATCTCGGCCATAATCCTGTATCTTGGAGCTCCAAGAAACAAAGAACTGTTGCCCGCTCTTCAACCGAAGCTGAGTATCGATCAGTTGCTGCCACGGCCGCTGAACTCCGATGGATTTGTTCTCTCCTCACTGAACTTGGCATTTCTATTCCCCATCAACCGGTGATTTATTGTGACAATGTTGGAGCCACAAACCTCTGTGCCAATCCAGTTTTTCACTCGCGTATGAAGCATGTTGCCTTAGACTATCATTTCATTCGTGAACAAGTACAAAACGGTCTCCTCAGAGTCTCTTATGTCTCAGCTTCTGATCAGCTTGCCGATGTCCTCACCAAGCCCCTGTCTCGCCAACAATTCACCATGGTTTTGAACAAGATTGGACTCACTCCACCACCGTCCATCTTGCGGGGGGATGAAAAGATAACATAACCGATGCTCTGTCTCCTAGATTTCTGGTAGTTAGTTCTGCTTAGAATTAGTCTCCGATAGGTATATCTGTTGTAACAGAACACATCCTCTAGGCTGTATTTTGTGTTTAAATACTAAGGCAATCGCTAGGAAAGGTAGGGGAAAACATTATATGCAAGCCTCTCTTCTTCCTCACCTCTCTTCTACAGATTGAAGTATTCGATTGTCCAAAGGTAAAGAGGCTTCCTTCGTTTCTTTCCTCCATTGACGGACCACCATGTCCTCCTAGCAAACTTGGGATGATCAGGGGAGATAAAGAATGGTGGGAATCGTTAGAGTGGGACAATTCCTACCCAAAAAATGCCATTGACCCACTTTTTAGAGCAAGGTGATGAAGTTCGAACTGGGTGTTGAAGGCCACCTATTTGATCAAAATCCGGATTGGTTCTTATGTACGTGATTCCTCCCCTCCCTCTAACCTTGTCTTACCAAGTATCCCCTTTCTTTGAAATTTCCCAAAATATGATCTACTTCTCCAGTAGCGTAGGTTTTCTATTGCGTAGGAATCAATATTAGCTATTTCAATGTTGCGGTGCAGAACTATTTCTTCAATTAATTTACGTGATTTACTACATATAGTGTTCTTTTTCTTTTTCATTTTTTTTGTTTTGACGTTTTGTATGGGAAAATGGATTTAAGTACTTTATTTTCTCTCTCTCTCTCTCTCTTTCTTCTTATTTATTTTTGAGTTCAATGTCATTATAAATTTCTTTTTTCATTTTATGCTGTGGAATGATCTCTGTCTTTCCCTTTTTCTAGAGAGGCTCAAGTTTTCCTCTGCCGACTACCTTTCCGATGGAGAGGAATTGCTAACTGCACCCTTTTCTTATAATCATTGATATAATCTAGTGTACAGCTTTTTAATACTTTTTCTAATTTTTCACAATTTTTTAAATTTAAATATTTTATTTTCTCTTTCTTTCTTTCTTCTTGTTCATTTCTGAGTTTAGTGTCTTTATTAATTTATTCTGTGAATGAGCTGATCTCTATGTTCTTTTCTTTTTTCATTTCTTGGTTTTGAAGGTTGTCTTGATTTTCCCCTTTTTTGAAGAGGCTTTCCAGATAAAGCTATAGATGTATATGTTGGCAACTGTTTAAATTCTAAATTTCATATTGAGAGCTACAATAAGTTGGAAAGGAAGTAGAACTGCAAAGTAATTTACATTATTGTACATTGAATTAGTATCATGGATGAATTAGCTTTGTGTTTCTGACTACACTGATCAAGCGTTGTTTGTCAATATTTCTCAGGTTACTCGGTAGCCACAAACTTGCTGCTGCAGCCTGCAAGAGAGGTGATGTTGCAAAAATAAGTGTTAATTGAAGCCCTGTCCACCAGTACCAAATTTCCTTTCAAGACGTGCTTCTTCTTTAGCTGTATTATTATTATTTTTTTTTTTTTGTCGACACAGAGGTGTCCAGGTTAATCTTTACGGGCTCGACTAATCCCCTGCAGTCCGGGCCCGGTGCCCCAACCCGACCCGAACGCGATAAGTGTGCGGAGGATTCTTTAACTGTATTACAGTTGCTGCTCTTCGTCATGTTTGGCTTTTTATTCCTACCTAGATGATGTTTTTTCTGTGCTTGGTTGTAACTGGAGCAGCGATACAGTTTTTTGTGACTATTCCTTGATTACCAACAAAACTGTTTTGGGGCATTATGCCAAAATTTTTGGTCATATTGTACTTCAAGAAAGAGATTTCACTCTATCAATTTAAACCTTTCTATGTTTGCGCTTTTTCTAGATTTCCATTTCAAGCAATTATATATCTAGTTCCACTGATAATTCTTTAGTTAAATCCTTTTGATTGGGGTTAGGATTGTATATGCATGTTAGAGAAGGATCGGAATAACATTCAAATCCCTTACGGAGTTAAGTATCTACATTTAGAATAAATGAATAGAAGAAGCTTGCACATCAACTTTTCTGTGTGACTTGAGCCTTTTATGTCTGCTTCTTTGGCAGCAATTATCTATGAACATATCAAACTTGTATGGAATGATTTTTTATCTTTTTCAGAAACAAATGTATCAGGAGTTTTCTCTTGCAAGAGCCATGCACATGTATATGTCATCTGATATGGTATTAACTTTTGTTTCGAAAAATCAGAGAATGTTTGAGGTGGCCAGTAAAGCAAGCATCAACTTGCTAATCCACAGTCCTGCAATGTATGAAGAGGCAAGATTCGAGGTTAGTAACATTTAATCAAGGAACAATCGGAACTAGTTATTTTCCAGCTCATAGTTGGTTGATTTCAGTTTGAGCCTAGTTCAGAGTCTTCACACTGCAAAGAACTCAGTTTTATGCAACCAATAAAGGAGCAAAGGACAAAAAGAAATTGGTCTAGGGTGGGAAATATGATCAGTAGCTTTGCAATGTGGTAAAGGAAGGATTGTGGTTTCAGATAATGTAACCATATCAAGTGATTCACCTGAAACTATGCTTCTAATTGAAATGATTAAACAAAGCTCACAATGTCAGGTCATTTTTTTTTTTTTTTTTCTTTTAAGAGGGTTCAATGAATCATCTTTCAGTGCCGAATGATGTGGAAAACAGGATATTATCTGCTAAAGAATGTATTCATCTATTTAGTGAACTTAACTGAAAAAATGACTTGCGTTTGTTAATAGAACATCAATTAGTACTCGTACCTATTTGAGCAGATGCTGCAGTGGGTATTTTTGGTAGTATACTACCTGCAATAGTGGAAGTTAAATTTGACAAAAGATACAAGGGAACAATCAAAAGACAAGGGGAATAAAAGAAGAAAAGAAGATGATAATTTCTCAAATAGGTAGCCGAAGTCTAAGATGACTGTCATGAGCTGCAGAGGACATTATTGCATTACTTAACAAACAAAGAAAAGAAATTGCATGCGTACTTGTGCTGGTTTTATTGCCGGAAGAAGAAGCAGAAACAATAGGACCAGAAGGCCAAGGAGCTGCAACATTTTCATTGAGATCACAAAGGAATCAAATTCCTGAACTTTCATTAAATGTTACATCCCAAGGCAAGCTAGGAATGAGGCAACCAGATTCTGGAGAATATAAGTGGGAAACTAATCAATGGCAAGACCAAATTGACATTCATTGTTAAATTAATTTTTGTAAAGAAAAAGTTTGATAGCTTACAAGGAAATAGATCACGACATAGAGAGAGATATATTTTATGACATTGGACTATCTGTTCAAACTACTACCTTTTGAGTCTATTGGTGAAAAAAATCAATTCTCAGCAGATGGCACACCATGATGATCCACAAATTTATGGATGGAAAAAGTTCCCATAAGTAATGTTCGGAAAGTCAAATATATGAAGAGATATTAGGGAATACTGACCTTGAGGTGAAAAGTCCTTCAGCTTTATATAGTAGAGACTGTATACATTGCTGGATATTTTAACACACTGCAAGGAAGCACAGTTTACTGCTTGCAGGTTAGTAATAAAGCTTTGCTCTTGCAAGTGAGACATATAACTCTCCATGGCACTGCAGCAAGATGTCCTATTATTCACTTGATCTCCACATTCTTTAGAAATTTCAGTGATATCCGAAAGTACCAGTGGGCAGGCTAATCATAGAGTAGGATGAAAATAAGATACTCTTATCTTTAGGTGAATTATCAAAGTTTATCATGCAAATAAAAAAGATGCAAGGTGCATTTCTTATTGTTTCTCCTAGTTAACCTTGTTTAAGTGACAGCAAGAAAGTCCTCAATGTATTCTGTTTGCAGAAGAAAACCTTGTTTAAGTGACAGCGAGGAAGACCACTATGTACTCTGTTTGCAGAAGAAGGATTAAGCTTATTGGCAAGCCACCAGAGCACGATATTCATAGTCCCTTATAATAGCTGATTCATCAGGTAGGATGGAAATGCTGCTCAACTTTTTCATGTTGTAATTGCTGAAAACAAGTTTTTGGCTGCGGCTGATATGGAATTCTGGCAAATTCTATTGCAGCACTCATTTTTGGTATCAATATTATCACACGAATCTAAAAGTCTTAATGAAGCCAGAACGCTGTCAACCTTATGAACATCTACAGTAGGACACGAAGCTGCAGCGAGATTGCTTGGACCTATTGAGCATATCATGTCAAGGTTCTCATTGGCACCTTGACTTTCCAGGATCTTTTCAACATCTGAAATGCAGTGACTGGTATGTGTTTCATTTAATGCAAGCATTCCAGTATGGTTGCTTGACTGTCCAAGGAGAACTACAAGGCTGGCCTCATATTAAGGACAACAAACCACATTTGCAAGATATGGTGCTAGGGAAGACCAGCAATCCGTTGCTATCACACTTGATATACTTTCAGCTGAAAAAAAGTTCAACATACAACATCCTGCTAAATCAACACACAATCAATCTGCAATTAATAAGAACCTCTTATGTAGGTGAACATGAAGATTAAAGCAACTTCAAGATGTAGAATTTTTTTTTGGATGAATAAATGTCATCAAAACACAGCCATTCTTCTGCCCTTCCATCTTTTTACATCAAATTCTTCATCAATCGGAAGACTTGATACAACCAGTTCAGATGCAACTCAATTACAGAACTTTAATGTTTTATGTAAAAATGTACAAGCCTAAGATATTGCTAATAAGTGGTAAAGCTTCACCTCCGTGAAAGACAACTATTCTTACACATAATTTTGTTTCTGGTTTCTAACACGGTAGGGATATATTGAACTCAAAATCCTGAACTGGTAGGCTATCTTGGTCAAAACAATGGCCTTATTAACAGAGAACTGGAGTTCACCATATTTCGTATTAACTATTTTTGTTTTTAGTAAGAGATAAAATGCATGACTAATACAGTCAAGAATTAAAATCCTAAATTGAAGCACAGAACAGTATGAACCATGCAAAGAAAAAGTGAAATGTACCAGAAAAATTTGGCAAGCCGTTATATGTGAAAGGCATCAGTGGTGAAGGTGCATGTGGTGTTGCAAGAGGCTGAAGATCTGTACTTGGAGAGACATATAAAGAAGAAATGAAATGCCTTTTTAGTACTGCATCAGAACTGCCTATGGATTCATTTGAACCGATCATAGACAAAGGCACATCTGCAGCACACATAGATATATGAATTCGTCAGAATTTAGAGGTATGTACACCCATTCTTCCATAAAGGAAAGAAAATTTGAACCATGTGCATGTGGCACTCTATCCCCATTTCACAATAAGAAACTCTATAACACACACTGATTAGACGTTCCTATTCAAACTTTAGTAGTAGCCATCAACTGGCCATGATGTAAGCTTACTGTATCTTGAGAAACTTGATGGCAAAGTAATTGAATTGCAACTTCAACTGCCAAGTGTTGGATTATGATATGTATTGAACTAGCAGTACAAGTCTTAACTCTTAAATTGTAGTAAAAACTTGAGCAGTGGTTTAAAATTTCATCCTTTGGAAGATTTCACATCAATCAGGCTTTAGGATTGGAAATTGATTAAGGGAGTCATTCAATGTTGTAGTGCATGAATTTGGATTCTAACTCTTTGCTACAAGTCAGGTGTATGTTTCTAAAATAACAAGATAAGCTATAACAATTGATAAAGATCTAAAGTGCACGTAACTTTGTAAAATTAATGATTCCACTAATACTGTACATGTTACAATAATAATTCAATGCATTCTGAAACTTTTCATCTCATCAATCCTCTTGCTAATAGATTCATTTCATAGTTCATTGATTGATTATAGCTTGCATTCCTTCTAGAGAAAACAGGTACTGCAGAATTCCAAATCTCAATGACCCTTTTTTGTTTCTTTTCAAATCTCAAAGACTATTTTAACAGATGCATCATCTCAGTAGCATATTAAAATAAGGTAATTTCTTTTTAAACTCACATCAAAGTGGTTTAGCGAAATGATACAGTCCATACGATCAAGAGATATTGATAGTGCTAAATTTAGCTACAAGAAATGCAAACTTGCAACTATAAACAAATAGGAAGGCATTCAACATGAGCAGTACTCACAGATATTAAGCAAGAGCAGATGAAGAAGAATCAATTCCGGCACAACTTCTTTCATTACTTCACTTCTGTAAATTGAATGGATTCCGAAATATAACCAGAGAAAATGTTTTCGCTGAGCGTCTATTTGTGTTTATCTCTATATGAACGCATGGAGCTCTCGGCTCGACCACTCTACCTATATATAATTATAGCTCCCGGGCGGCCTTGGCCTCACTAGTGAATTTGGAGATTGTGCGATTTTTTCTGAATAATTTTGACATTGTGAGTTATTCATATAGTACTTGTGCTTTACATGTTCTTTTTTACATACGTGACTTAAATTTATAGTGCTAGTATCTCTACACTGATGTATAAAATCTTACTTTTTTAAGCTAAATTACTTATTACCCCCATGTAGTTTTACGTAATGCCAGATAACTCTTCTATAGTTTTAAAATAGTCACGTAACCCCCCGTAATTTTATGTAAAGTGAAAAATGGATTGAATAAATAATTAGTTACGGAATTTATACCAAACGCGCTCTAAAAGCGCATGTAATAAAATCATAATATTCATGTAATCTCCTTATGATTTGTATAAATATCTACTTTACTTCTCCTATGATTTTGTATTTGTCCACCTAATCTCGCTATACTTTTATACAAAAGTGGTTAAACCATCGATTGATTTAACATTTAAATAAAGACACTATTGGTGTTTCAGCTAACAATGTTAAATAGGTTATTTTCCGTCAAGTTTCTACTTTACATAAAATCATAAGGGGGTAAAATGAATATTTTGAAATATTAGATAGATCATGTGGCAATCTATGAAATCACATCCGGTTATATGTAATTTATCCAATATTTTTGAAAAAAAATGTAAGTAAAACAATGATTATCTCTGCCCCAACCACCCCAAAATCTATATATTCTAGTTTACCAAATCTCCTAACTTTGTGTCGCATTAAAATTTATCAAAAAATAGAGTACTTTTCAGACTACAAGAATGATATTTTATCTAACACACTTCACTCTATGTGATAAAAACAAAGCAAAAGATTGTCTACCTCTCATTTTTCTATCTATTCCCACGTTATCTATATACTCCATCGCATGGACTCTCGTGTTTTCTCAATCAGTTTCTTGTACCTCAACCCTGCTAGATTTCCCACCCTTTGCAACTACGCCCAAGTCTCAAAAGGTTGCAAGTGACAGCTAGAAGCCTAGACGCATGTGTGATCAGTCACTGATCACTTTACTACGAATTATGGTCACATGATACTCACGTGCTGATTAACCAGGATTTGTCCATTGCTGGAATGGACTAGGAAGCCACAGCCGCCTCCGGTGTTTAAGGCATCAGAGGAATTTGAACCCTAAGATAAAGCAGGAAATGCAAAACAAACCCGTAGATTAAACAAAATTCTTTCATTTTTTTTCTTTCACGGGGTGTTTATTAAATGGGTTTATCCCCTGCTATAGGTTTCGAATTCATTTATACCCATACATGATATTTGCTTGGAGCCAATGAGAATAAATCATTGGGAATGATTGGTCTGTTCTATGAGTTTTCTGATTAACCACCTCTCATTAGGGAATCATCTTAGTTAATCATATTATTCTTCTTAAATATAAAAATAAGAAAACAATGTGCCATCTTAAGTACCCATCTTATTCTTCTTAAATGTAAAAATAAGAAACAAAATGCCACTGTTTGTGTTAGTTTCAACAAATGAAAAAAAAGAAAAAATAAATAACGAAAAAGAAAAATAATAAATTGTAAAACACTAAAACCCATTCCACATTAACAAACACACTATGAGTTTTCATTAAAACTCATTATCATTGACCACCTTATAATACCGATAGTGATAGTGATTGTAGAACTCGAACCAAACGACTCCTAACATTATCTTCATGTTTAGGATGCATAAAATCAAATGGTTGCTTGTGTTTTAGTTTTCCATGTCAACTCTTAAAGATTTCATGATTTGATTTTAAAAAAAAAGTCAACAATAATTTGTCTACCAGTAGATATAAAAATCACAGAAACCCAACTTATCAAATAAAATGACGGTGTCAAAATGGGACAAATTGGAACCATACTTAATTAAGTGAAAAATGCAAACTTGAAACTTGATAGATTTCTGGGAAAACCCAACTACTTAAGGCATGGTCTTAAGCTCTAGGTTCTTATGTTGTAAGGATACGCCTTTGGTGGGGCAGCATTACTAAGCCTCTCGCCAAATGGCTTGGTCTTATAGCTAGATTGGGACTTTGGAGGACGCATGCCTTTCTTTCAATAGGGAGCTCAGAAAGTTGAGGTAATTTGGAATGACTGTGAGCTAATAATAAATTACAAAATAAAACAGTGAGATAAAGATGCCAATTTATTGACTCTAAATCCTTTATCCTACTTTCTCAAATTCTGTTTTAATCTGTATTTTTTTTCTTGTCACATGTGAATATAATACATGGCTTATTCACAAAGTACAAATTGTTGCATGTAAAATAACACGACAAAATAGTTAGATGAACTTTGTGACTGAAAATGAGATGGTGAATATAGAGTCCAAACTACTCTCTAAATTTTAAAGGGAAAAATTATGAATACAAATAGGTAAAACGACATCATATTTTTTCGTCTTATATTACCAAACAAGACAAAGAGGTCATGCACTAAAATTGTTTTTTTTTCTTTAATTAATTATTAGGTTTGACTAAGGGGTGCAACCGTTAAAAGTTGCCTCAAGTGTCAAAAAAATGTAATTAATTTGGTATAGCGCTCACGAATTACTTAGAATAAATTAAGAAATTTTATGTAGAAATTAGAGCAAATTATCTGGATGGCCACTAAACTTTTACAATCGTTGAGTTTTGGCTACAGAACTATTAAAAATCTGATTTTGACTATTGAACTATCTAAAGTTTAGGTTCCAAACCATTTCGTTAGATTTGACCATTAATTATGCCAGATCTGAGTGTTCGCACGATTCACAAGACAAAAGAAAAAGGCATAACTAATGATTAAATTTAACGGAATGAGTCGAAATCCAAACTTTAGATAATTCAGTTGCCAAAATCAAACTTTTAATAGTTCAATGATGAAAACTCAATGATTCCCAAAGGTTAGTGGCCATCTGGATAATTTACTTTTAGAATTATAGCATTTCGTGATTCGTTGGCAAAACTCCTTTGATTCTCTACCAACCAATAATATAGGACCATTAACATGGTTAAAGCAAACTGTTTGAAGTTTAGATGTAGCATGGTACTCTTTCTACCACCATGTTAGTATAGGGATAGTTTAAATAAATTTTTATCAATAGATAACACTCAATGCTTGCTGTGAAAATGAAAAATGAGCATTTT